CCCAATCTCAGGGTCGCCCTCCCGCCGAGCTGGATGGAGAGGAAGGGGTTAAACTTACCTCTTTCTCCAGCGCCGGGCGGGGAGCTATCCTCCTCTTCGGCTGAATGTGCATGCGCGGCAGGAGCCGCGCGCGCATTCAGCCAGTCCATAGGAAACCATTTACAATGCTTTCCTTTGGACGCTGGCGTCTTCTCACTGTGATTTTCACAGTGAGAAACGCGGAAGCCCTCTAGCGGTTGTCAATCAGACAGCCACTAGAGGCTGGATTAACCCTAACATAAACATAGCAGTTTCTCTGAAACTGCTATGTTTATAGAAAAAAGGGTTAACCCTAGATGGACCAGGCACCCAGACCACCTCATTAAGCTGAAGTGGTCTGGGTGCCTACAGTGGTCCTTTAATATAGTTGGCATGTTTGTCAGTTCCCAACTGGTCAAAAACATTAATATTGGTAATAAACAAAAAATAAACTAGGATGCAAACTACATTTATATATCCTACTCCTGACTTCTTAGGGTGGGAAGCATTTTCAATAGTGCTCCCCACTTGGATCCATCATTGGGTTAAAATGGATCTGTGTATATATAAATGATTATATTACTGCGTGAATGGCTAGTCATACATGTATGTATGTGAGAGGTCAGTAAAGTATATGGGGGTAGATACATAGCCTTGACTGGTGGATAGTCTTAAAGGGACACTCAAGACCCCTAAATCATACGTCACAACTGTCCCTATTTATCCTAGTGTCCTTCTTTTGTAGGAGCTCAGTATTCTTGGTGTATCTGAATTTATACCAGAAATCCACAGCAATAATACTCACAGTAATGTATTGTTAAGTTATAAAAATATAAAAATTTAGAAATTAGTCTGTGTACACAAGATACATTGTTCTTGTTCTAAATTACATTTTGAATTATATATTTTATTTATAACGTCAACTAAAAGCTATCAGTACAACGCCCCACCCCCCTGGCCCCACCGTCACTCACATATATAAAATGAAATTGTGCCTTTTTGTCCATTTAAAATGTTGGGAGGTATGACTAATGCACTTCAGTTTTCTGGAGTGCTTTGTGGAGAGTTTGATGGTTTTTTTTAAATCATTTTTAATAAAGTGCAAATTTCAGTAGAAATGGGCACTTTTATATATTACACCCCCTGGCTGTCAATCAGACAACCTGTTTCTTTCTGATTGTTTAGCTCAGTGGAGCCAAACTCATGAGGCAGAGAAGTGTACAGAACATCTACCTTGCAAAGACTTCTAAGAGGAACCGAGCAGATGTGCATTGCCTGAGCTCCAAAAAGGCCCGTCAATAACGCAACCTAAGTCGCAAATATAGGAGGCATTGAAAGCCAGAAACTCTACCCCCTCCTCACACACGGGCTGCAAAAATAGGAAAATATACCGTCCAGAGGCGCCCCGTTAGCCAGATATTCGGCTCTCTTTTGAGAGACCAGCTCCGCAACAGCAATCAGAGATGGCGCCTGAGGCCCTCAGAGACTCTGACACATCGGAAGCCTCGCAGGAGAATGAGGAGCCTCCTCTCTCCCCGCGATCTGAGGACACGTGCCACTCCTTGGAGTCAGAAGGACTCGGCTCCCTCCACAAAGGGAGATATAAGGAAGCTAATCACAGACCTAAGGAAGGTCTGGAAAGAGGACCTCTAAACTGTCCAGTCAGAGGTAGGAGTGGTACACAGAAATGTACAAGAGATAGAATGGAGAGAGGTCGCCAGAGACAAGTAAATACAGGACTCTAGCAGTTAAATAGAGGGACTTACATTCGAAGTGCAGATACTGAGTAGAGTAGTGACCGTGATGGAGATGCTCCATAGGCGTCGGAACTTACGCCTTAGAGAATCCCCATAACAATTGGGGGTGAGGAGCTCCTAGAATATATCCACAACCTTCTCTCCTCCATGGGCATTAAAGGAAACCCACCTCTGATTACCACAACACTCAGGGTGCACAAATCAGCGGCAGCACCCAGTGCAGCACCCAGAGATTTCATAGCTGTTACAAGAGACATTGCGGTGAGATCTGCAATAATGCACCGCTCGAGGTTAATGGGGACAATACCATATGAAGAACACACGGTGGCTATATACGTGGACATCCCGTTCTCAGTCCTGGCAGAAAAAAGAAAACTGGTATCGGTTGCCAGAAGGCTAAGGGACTGTTCCATAAAATATCGATGGGGAATGGAAGGAACACTTATGACCGATAAAAGGGGCGAGAGTCTGACTCTGACATTATCAGATGACCCAGAGACATTCATAAGGCACTTAAGTCTATCAGCCCCAGCACAAGTGGTAGCCCCAACACCAACACAAGGGGCTAGTGGGCATGGAGAAAAAGGCAAACACAGGCCCCACAAGAAGTCAGGGAATGCTGCCAAGTGGCCATAACACTGTACCCAGGACTTATACCTTAGTTCCTTGCATAACCTAATTAGGAAATCAGAGCCGCCATCAGGGCATGACAACCATGACGGTGGTCCTGGGGGGCCGAACTGCTCTGGGAGTTCTGGCCCCCACATTGCCTAAGTACACATATATATATATAACGATTTTCACTATATATGTTTACTTGCGGGCCCCCGGTTACCTGCTCGTTACAGATGGGGCTCGCAGCACACTCTCACTTCCCTTCCCAGCAGCTCCCCTGTCTAAATCTTGCGAGTCCCAAGGCCGTCAGAGTGTTGCCACGGGCTACCATGGCAACGCTCTGCGAGGCACGCAGGCCGTGAGAGTTAGACTGGGGAGCTGCTGGGAAAGGAAGTGAGAGTGTGCTGCGGGCCCCCTCTGCAGAGTCCATACCACCGGACCACCAGGGAACGCGAACTCCCCCCTCCCTGACCTGGTAAGAAGCAGGGAGGGATGACTAAAACAAAATGTTAAAAAATAAAATATTTTTAAAAAATCAAAATTTTACACACATTACATACCTACACAAACACACACTGCATTTACTATACACATACTATACAAACACACACTGCATTCACTATACACATACTACACAAACACACAGTGCATTCACTGTACACATACTACACAAACACACACTGCATTCACTATACACATACTACACAAACACACAGTGCATTCACTGTACACATACTACACAAACACACACTGCATTCACTATACACATACTACACAAACTGCATTAACTATACACACACACTACAACCACTGCACAAACACACACTCTGCATCTAATATACACCTCATACATTACACAAATGTAGAATCTGCATCCACTATACATACTGCATCCATTAAACAGGTAAACGTACCAGCGCTGATATTTCAATAAAATGTGATACAGTTATATCAGGAATCCTACTAATTTCCAGCTGCTATAACACCCCAAACTTATCTTTCAACGAGGTAGTGCAAACCGGTGTATGGGTGAAGCGCTATATGCAAATAGATGACCAAAGTGGGGAGATAATACCAAGTGATAAACACCAGAATACTAAAAGTATACCTTCTTTTTTATATACTTCACAATAGTCCTTTATAGGAATTTCACTTTTAGGAGCTAAAGAGGTATAGCTCAATTGAAGCGCTTTCAGAGTCCGTCAAGGCGACTCTTATCCCTTCTTTTAACTCTTCCTTTCTTGTATTCTGAAATGTATAAAGGAAAAAACCTCTGGTGCAATAACGTAGACTTGGTGTATATCAAATAGTGAGGGAAATAGGGTACTTACAAACCCAGAGCCATCCGCATCGGCTCTGATCCAATAGCTTATGAGGATTAAGGACCACACTCCTTCTTTTAGAATAGCAGGAAAATGCCAATAGTGTCTCTCAAAAATATAAGCTTTATTGACTATATACATATAAGTACAATAAAAATATAAGAAATATATATATATACAAAAAACACTATAATGGCATAAAAAGTCCAGTAATTAAAAAGTCTTTAGGCTCACAATGTTCCCAGGACACGTTTCGCTGTGAAGGCTTCCTCAGCTGGATGTGAGAAAAAGTCTATTACCTTCTTGCACTGGCTCCTGCTATATGTACCCCTCCTGGGGTGAAGATGCTTGTTTTTCGGCTTGAATTTTCGCGGGCTATCACCATGGGAATGGTGACGCCCAGCGTATCAAGCCTCTTTCTCTCTCCATTTCCGGGTAACACTATCGATACGTCACTTCCGGTTTTTTCGATCGCAAGCTGTCGCGTCATATCCGTGCGTTCCAGCTTGCGTTCCAAATGCATTCCGGCTTGCGGTTCAGCTTTTCTATGTAGCATTGTGCCGGCATCCTCGCAGTTAGAGTGAAGAGGGACAACAAAACATTTTGTGTGCATTCATTAAATATTACAAATCTTTACCAAAGCTCTTTTGATTCTTTCTATCCATCTATATATAGTTTCAACAAAAGGAACGTATATATATATACGATTCTTTCTTTTAACTCACGTGGATCGCCTAATAGGCTCTTTTCTATAAAAACAATTGTGCAATAGTAACCTTATACTGGTTAAAGAGAAAACCTGAATAATAAATAATGCATATAAGACTATTAAAAATATTTTTAATACATATGACATATACAAATATTTAAAAATATTCTTAAAAAATATAAAGATTCCCTTTTAATAGATGTAACTAAACACCCCTAAAAATAGATCAAACCATACCATATCCATTTCTATACACAGAGAATGGTAGCACAAAGAATAATATCACTAGGAAAAAATATGAAAAATAAATAAATAAGTAAAAAATCCTCTAATCAAACAAATATAAAGATATAAAGCTGTAAAACTATAAAAGAAACAGAATACCTAAAACCACCTATTTCAAAAAATGACACATTTCGAAGTCTGCATTTAATCCGTTGGGAATCAGAGTGTCTAGTTTGAAAATCCACTCCATTTCACATTTACTCATTTTTACGTCAAAATGACCTCCTCTCCAATCTTTTTCCACTTTTTTTATCCCTAAAAATGCTACATAGAAAAGCTGAACCGCAAGCCGGAATGCATTTGGAACGCAAGCTGGAACGCACGGATATGACGCGACGGCTTGCGATCGAAAAAAACGGAAGTGACGTATCGATAGTGTTACCCGGAAATGGAGAGAGAAAGAGGCTTGATACGCTGGGCGTCACCATTCCCATGGTGATAGCCCACGAAAGTTCAAGCCGAAAAACAAGCATCTTCACCCCGGAGGGGTACATATAGCAGGAGCCAGTGCAAGAAGGTAATAGACTTTTTCTCACATCCAGCTGAGGAAGCCTTCACGGCGAAACGCATCCTGGGAACATTGTGAGCCTAAAGACTTTTTAATTACTGGACTTTTTATGCCATTATAGTGTTTTTTGTATATATATATATATTTCTTATATTTTTATTGTACTTATATGTATATAGTCAATAAAGCTTATATTTTTGGGAGACACTATTGGCATTTTCCTGCTATTCTAAAAGAAGGAGTGTGGTCCTTAATCCTCATAAGCTATTGGATCAGAGCCGATGCGGATGGCTCTGGGTTTGTAAGTACCCTATTTCCCTCACTATTTGATATACACCAAGTCTACGTTATTGCACCAGAGGTTTTTTCCTTTATACATTTCAGAATACAAGAAAGGAAGAGTTAAAAGAAGGGATAAGAGTCGCCTTGACGGACTCTGAAAGCGCTTCAATTGAGCTATACCTCTTTAGCTCCTAAAAGTGAAATTCCTATAAAGGACTATTGTGAAGTATATAAAAAAGAAGGTATACTTTTAGTATTCTGGTGTTTATCACTTGGTATTATCTCCCCACTTTGGTCATCTATTTGCATATAGCGCTTCACCCATACACCGGTTTATACTGCATCCATTGCACACACACACACACCGCATCCACTTTACAAACGCACTCTGCATCCACTACACACATTCTACATCTACTATACACACACATGCATCTCTGTGGGCGGCGGACTCGGGGGCGGCTATGTGGGCGGCTCTGTGGGTGGGCTCGGGGGCGGCTTTGTGGGTGGGCTCGGGGGCAGCTATGTGGGTGGGCTCGGGGGCAGGCCCCTGGGGGCCCAGACCTTGAGTTGTGTCAGGAGCCCCACAATTTCTGATGGCAGCCCTGTACCCAATTACCCTGCTGTCTATTCAGCCCTTAATACTAGTAACGACATTACACTTGACGGGCACTATTCGGCCATCGAGCCATTACCCAACCAGATGAAATGACAGCTAAATATGTCTATATGTTTAATTACACGTCATCTACATCACTGGACTAATACGGCTACAATCTCTACTTGAACATCATATGTATAATTTATTTTTTTTGCACCGATTCATTATATGCATTAAAAATATACACAGATTTTCACAAATATATTTCCTCCTAAAACCCTAAATAAGGTTTGAGTTAGCAGCCATTTTGGAGGAGTCTGGTGTTGCTGTACCACTAGATGGAGACATTTCCGGTTTCCCCCACGCACTCACTGCGCAGTGCGAACCCTCGTGGGCGACAATCTCCTCCCAGCTTTCTCTTTACCCGAACCCAACATGGCCGCTGCGGCTTCCCCGACTGAGCGCGGTGACGTCACGCAGCGTAGCGCGTAGTGCGAACTCAGCATGCGCGGCGGCCATCTTGGAAAGTCCCCTGTGTGCAGTGACTGAGCGAGATCTTACCGGCTGCTGGAGCTTCCTCCCGGTACTCACAGACCACAGTCACCGATCGGTGAGTCTGCCCCTCCTCTGCCACTCACAGTGCCAGGGCACTCAGCTGGCACCCTGCATTCTGCCTTCTCTATTACAATGCAGGGATTACCTCCTCTGCCCAGTCACCTCTCCCTGTCAGCACTACCTCCACCAGAAACCAGCACAATAGGGCTCAATAGGGAAGGAGTTCATACTTTCAGTCTCTTTCAAGTCCATTGTGTTTCCAAGGAACGTGCAAGGCACGAAAACATGATTAATAATAATAATAATGATAATTATAATAAATATAAATAACAATAAGTGCTATTTCTCCTTGGCACTGGGTGTAAGGAAGCAGCTATTCAGTAATAAATGTACCCCATATTCTGTTACCCTTGGCAGAGCTGAGCCAGGCTATATGGAGTAATAATTAGTGGGATTTATAGGTCAGTGTCGTTGACGTTCCCTTTTTCTTTTACGTATATATCATCCCAAGTACCCAATATTATGTAAAGAGTCGCAATAGACCGCATGAATAAATGGAAATAATTATATCCCGTGAGAATGGGGGCAAGCTCTAGCTGTCTTGTAGACGAGAGTTTGACGTAAGAAGTATTACAGCAATATGGTCATGTTTATCTTTAGGTGAATAATAATAATTATTATTGGCATTTACATAGTGCCGACATATTCCGTAGCACTTTATGATATTATACAAGTGGGAGATTTAAAAAAAATAAATGACAATAAACAATAACATTGTGTTTTCAGCTTAAATCCAGTGGGTCGCTAATAGGACGTTTTTGGTGCATTGCCGGATGTTGCTCTACCACCTTAATGTGCAATGATTATTATTATTATTTATAACGCGCCAATGAATTCTGTAGCGCTGTACAATAGGTGGACAAACAGTGATGTAATTGCAACAAGGCGAGCTTAAAGGACCACTATAGTGCCAGGAAAACAAAATCGTTTTCCTGGCATTATAGGGTCTTTAGATCCCCCCACCCTCCTAAGGGTCCCACTCCCGCTGGGCTGAAGGGGTTAAACACTTACCTTTCTCCAGTGCCAGACTCCCTCGGCGCTGGGGAACTCTGCTGATGTCAGTGCCGAATGCGCATGTGCGGCAAGAGCTACGTGCACATTCAAATAGTCCATAGGAAACCATTTCTCTATGCTTTCCTATGGACGTCCAGCGTCTTCTCACTGTGATTTTCACAGTTAGATTCGCGGAAGTGCCTCTAGTGGCTGTCGGTGAGTCAGCCACTAGAGGCTGGATTAACCCTAGTGGAAACATAGCAGTTTCTCTTAAACTGCTATGTTTACAGCTGCAGGGTTAAAACTAGATGGACCTGGCACCCAGACCACTTCATTGAGCTGAAGTGGTCTGAGTGCCTATAGTGGTACTTTAAGCTAAGGCACAGGGACAGAAAGGGTTGAGGGCCCTGCTCAAACAAGCTTACATTCTAAAGGGAATGAGGTAAGGTTAGGATTTATTGCAGGTATAATATAGTAGGTTACTGGAATAGTTTACACTGAAGGATTTATTGGATGACACAGTTACAGGAGAAGGATGGGTTACCAAGGTGCAGGCTTTATTCGACTGCCCGTTTACCCCTTCATGACCTGTACTTTTGCACTGATTTAAATTTTTTTTTTCAGAGCGGCAAAAAAGGAACACCATACAACATGGTAAGTGGATGTCTCCTAAATGGCATTGTGTAGTTGTGGTCATTGCTTATAGCAGAACCCTGGGTTATGTGGAGGGTTGCCAGAGCTTCTTTTGAAGCTAATGGTGCCGAATGTGAAAACCCCTGCTAACCAGCTAGAGCGTATATGATTCTTCCCATCCTTGCTTACGAAGAATAGTCAATGGTGTTAATTCATCTATTTGTTTTTACAAGTTTGACAGTAGTGCTTTTCAACGTTTGATAGTTGAAATTGTCAAGACCTAAAGTAATTTTGTCTCAAAGGTTATTTATGAAAACCTATATTTTGTAATGGGCTTATTGTGCACACACCGATTATCAAAAAATTTAGTTTTTATTTTAATGTACATGACATTAGCGTGGGGGCAGCACAGCTGTCTGTGGTTGTTCTGGTGACTATAGTATCCATTTAATTAAATTTTATACCAAATCTCTGAAAAAGGAAAAAAAAACACCTTTATTAGACCATTCTCATTGTGATTGGTTTATCCATTAAAACGCTGACGTCAGTGGTACTGAAGTAAACTATTTTTGGACGCTGTTTGGAGCCTTGGAATTATGACATGCCTGTACCATCTACTTGGGACTATTAAAATAGCATGGGGTTCAATTTTGGTTCAATAGCATGGGGTTCAACCGCAGAGATTAGATTCCACAGATATAATATGTCCATGGAACATCGGTTGCTACAAATGAATGTCCTTATGTTCTGTAGCAGTGCAGTAATCCACATGTGATTGCATATCTGGATCTCATTCAGTGTCTGTTACTTATTGAGTCTTATTGTCTGCTTTATCAAGTTTCAAGTTAAATATTGGTTTTGCTGAACCAGTTATGACTAATCTCGACAATTCAGATATTTGTGGACTACATTTCCCATTATGCTTAGCCTGCAGAAAGCTATCTGGATACCCTCGATATGTAGACCACAAAGTCTATATTATCAAGCGTCACCATCACTAGATTGTGATTTGTTTCTGTTGCATTTCCATGCGTCTTGTTGCTCATTCTTCATTTTTTCTATTACATCGAATGTGACCGCACACATCCCATTGTTGCTTAAGTACTGGACAGTTGCTGCCTTTGATATTTAGTAGTTTTATTTCTTTCAGTTACATTGTTTAGTACAGTTTCATGCATTCTATGTGCAATATTTGTGAATTGTATTATTAACACTTTGTTTTGTCTCATATTGACAGTCTAGAAGATATGATTCCAGGACTACTATATTCTCCCCTGAAGGTATGTTCTGTGCTATGTTCTTGGTTATAATTATGTTTCATGTAATGCAGGATCTTACTTATTTGAAATGTTAGGGCTTGGTACATTTGCAAAGTGAAAGCTTTCTTTGTGCAACTAAGCATGGATCTTACTTTCACTTTCGCTCCTGCTGATCGAATATATATAATATTCATTCGGTTAAAGGGACACACCAGACCCTAAAGCACTTTGGCTCTCAAGAGTGTGTCCTTTCTCTTTTTTTATTTTTTTTATTTTTATTTTACAAAGTGCAGACATCAACAAAAATGTGTACCTTTATAAATTAACCTTGTTACATACAACTGGCTGTCAGACAACCGGCCCTGTTACTTCATGGTTTGGTTAACTCAGTGGAGCTAAACTCAAGAGGCAGTAATTGCCCAGAGCACCTGCCTTGGAAAGACTTCTCATTGAGCTGCATTGGGACGTCTGTGATTGGACAGCCACATAAAGTCTGGGCGTGGTTAGACAGGGAGGGCTTGCAAAGGCTTCAGGCAAGAGATCTGCAGCTTTTTCGTGATTTATTTATATATACCCCATTGGAAAAATGTATAATTAAACGCTTGCATGTTTTTAATGGGGGTATATCTGCTAAACAGTGATTTTTAAAAATGTATTTCTTTTTCGGGAACTAACCAGGATTTTTTGTATTAAGTTTACTTATCTACTATGTTTAATAAATGTGCATATGTAAAGTATAACAAATAAAAACTGAGGTCTTTGCATAGTTTGCAAAGATCCCTCAGATGGTGACATCACCACTCGGGGTGCACTGGACGTGAGTTATACTTACCTGATGCTGTCCCTCACGAGCCCCTCTGTCTTCAGCTCCTGGCGCTTTCTGTGTATGGAGCCCATGCCGGTGCTGTAGTCTCAGAAGTGTGCAAGAGGTACAACACTGAGGTCTATGTCTGTAGATATTAGCAAGCAAAGCACGAGACAATGCTTTATTCCCAAAACCATTGCTGGTGGCAACTGGGGGAAGTGAAAAAAAAAAAGTAGCTGTAACTCTGACTTTTACCATCTTGAAATACCATAAAGCAAAGTAGTAGCTTCTTTGTCTTATGTCTTTTGATTGTGTTGGAATTTCAATGACACTGTGAATTTATCCTGCAGCTGTGCAAAGCAAGTAGGGCTGTCTCTAGAATCTATCCATTGCACATTTAATAGAATAAATAATAAAAATAATTTTCTCATTCTAGGTCGTCTGTATCAGGTGGAATATGCCATGGAAGCAATTGGACATGCAGGCACCTGCTTGGGAATTTTAGCAAATGATGGCGTTTTGCTAGCCGCCGAGAGACGTAATATACACAAGCTGCTGGATGAGGTGTTTTTCTCAGAGAAAATCTATAAATTGAATGAGTAAGTTATATCAAAATACAAAACGTAATGTAAGATCAATTCCCAAAGCCTGGGTTACTCCAACCAAAACCCTTTTTTTTTTTTTTTTTATATAAATAAAACACTGTTTTTGGTTAGAGTAACCCTTCCCATTCTGCTTCCCTAGTCCCCCCCCACAAAAAGGAAAAAAAAAAAATTCTCCCTTCAGCCTGAACCTATGCTGCTAATGTCACTCCTCTTCGCTGGAAGTAGAGGACAGGCTGAGCGGAGGACATGGGCAGCACCCCTGGCAACAAATAAGTTAAACTTGGTATGTGCAGCACTACACATATATACTTCAGACACCATCACCACTTCAAATCACAGAAGTGGTCATGGTGCTTGGGGTGACACTTTAATGTTTGTTTTTTTTCTTCATAAATTATGTGCTGATTGTCTTTGACTGTGACAATGTTGATAGTTTATCAACAACTGATTGGCATTAATTAAACCGTTAAACTTGGCACAATGGATTACACAACCGATGAAATTAATTGCATATTGTGCAGGTTAGAGTTTTTAATACAAATGATCCACCACTCTATACAAACATTGTGCTTCTTCCATTCTACCTTTACTCATGCTGCTTTGCACTGTTTAAGGGTCAATTCTCTCACATTAAATACCTCTATATATTTTGTTGATATAAAGTGTGATTCTTTAACAATGTTCCTAATAGAATTTTCATCAGAAATTAAACAACTTGCGTTTCTTTTTTTTCTCTCTTCTTTTTATTTATTTATTTTAAATGTACTCTTGGCAAGCATGCTGATTTAAAAAAAAAAAAAAAAAATGTCCACAAAGTTTCATGAGATGTTAATTCCAAAGAGATTTTCCGCTATTTGTACACCAGTTGGATAATTGGATAACCCCCCCACCCCCCGGTCCCCCTACACTTGCCAGGTAATAGGTCACAACCTGCATGCAGTGTCTTACATTTTGTAATGTATGTGTTTCAGTGATATGGCATGCAGTGTGGCAGGAATTACATCAGACGCCAATGTGTTGACAAATGAACTGAGGCTCATTGCACAGAGGTAAGTTTTTAATTATTTGTAAAGGGCAGCAGTCACCATATAAACAGAAGGTTTTTTTTTTTTTTAATAATTTTTTTCTGCAGATAGTGCTATAGCTAGACATTTGCATCACAATTTTGTACTTTATAAATATCTATATGTTTAAAGGTACCCTGTCGCTAGTGCGACATTACTGCAACATGGTCCAGTGATACACCATATTCAAGATTTTAATTGTAAGGAGACCAGTAAAAATCTGTTAATAATTTAAATTATATATCATACTAGCTAAATGGGTAAGAAGAAAATAATAAAAGCAAGTCTGCCATGTACTTCCATGGCAAAGGACACTAATAAAGGAATACTCAAAGAACTCCAACCTTACAGCCATATTTTGCTGTTATGGTGACAGGTGTGCCATGGCATCCTCCCAGTATAGTTTTTCAAACAGAACAGTTTAACAACTTACCTGCACCCCCTGGTTCTAGATTTTTCTTGCATGAGAATCCAGTTAGCTCTAATGAGGTTCTAATCTGCGTCTCTTTAAGGAGAAAACTGGATGCAGCATGGATACCTGAGGGTCATGGCTATGCTGTCAAACCGGTCTAAAATGGTTTGTCAGATACTTTGGGAGAGTTCCACAACACTTCTTACACTGTAACCACTACAGTGATCTGTAAACCTCTTTATGGCTGTATGCAGTTTAATGCTAATGTTTGTTTATTTATTTGCTGGATTTTAATGCAGTGCAATACCATAAGTTGATAAAAGAATCAATTGTTCTAATCTCCCAAAAGTAGTAACATGCTGTTTCTTTGTGTCCAAGGTATTTGCTGCAGTATCAGGAGCCAATCCCATGTGAACAACTGGTCACTGCTCTCTGTGACATAAAACAAGCATACACTCAGTTTGGAGGTAATCCGTGTTTCTGTTATTTTAAAAACTGAAATTCTTGTTCCATAAACATTATTGTTGGTATTTATACAGCGATAACATATTCTGCAGCCCTTTACAATAATAAAACACCATGCATTAGATTTTACGAAGGGAATGTAAAGGGCAACCCTCCCCACCAGGATCAATAAAGCTGATCATATTGTGATTTGATTCACTGCCCAGTTTCACACCATTTTGAGCCACTACAGGATTTGCCTCAAGTTTTACTCCTTAAAGCCATACAGGATAATAGCCAGAATATTCATGATTTAAAAAAAATGTATATTTTAATCATGAATTGTTAAAAGTAAAACCCAGTTAGCATGCTCATTTAACACCTTAAGGACAGAGGGAATTGTCCAAACAAAACCTGGAATTTGACTATATGTCTCTTCAACTATAACTTCCCCTTTCATATTAAACACCCACACTTATTATGCATCATTTTCAGACAAATTAGGGCTTTCATTTCACAGCAAATAGTTATATATGAAACATAATTTATTATGAATATAAATCTAAAACAAAGTAAGAAATTAAGCATTTTTGTTATTTTCCAAATTCTGCATGGCATTTATACTGTGAATGTCATAATACGGTTGGTTTTACTGCATGCTGTGATATCCCATCAGTACAGCAATGCCTCCATGTGCATGTTTTATGGTGTCAAATATAGGACTTGCAAATGAAATTCTCTGGTATTTCTGCTAGGCTGTTAAGAATTATAGTAGTTTATATATTTAAAATTATGTATGAATGATATATTTATATAAAAATACACTTTGAATGAATTTATTACATCATTTTATTTAAAGTGTTATTTTGATTCTAATACATATAATTAATACGATTATATATCAGGGGACCTGCCTGACTAACCAGCCGGTTCGTCTGCAGCCGATCAGTGTAATGTGATTGCAGTGTCACATGGAGGATCAACACATGGTGGTTAAAGGGACAATGAAGTGGTCTGGGTGCAATGTCCCTCATGTTTTAACCCTTCAGATGCAAACATAGCAGTTTCAGAGAAACTGCTATGTTTACATTTGGGGTTAAGCCAGCCTCTAGTGGCTGTCTTCCGGACAGCCACTAGAGGCGCATCCTCGACGCTGGGGGCATATTATGCCTCCATCGCACGGAACGTCCATAGGAAAGCATTGAGAAATGCTTTCCTATTGATAGCTTGAATGCGCGCGCGGCAAGATCCTGTGACGCCGGACGGCTCCGCTGACGTCGGCGGGGGAGGAGAGGTCACCAGCCCGTAGGGAGCCCGGCACTGGAATAAGGTAAGCTGCTGAAGGGGTTTTAACCGCTTTGTTTTCCTGACACTATAGTGATCCTTTAACCCCTTAAGGACCAAACTTCTGGAATAAAAGGGAATCATGACGTGTCCTTACGGGGTTAAGTGTCATTTCGTATGGCTGGCAGGTTTTTCACTGTGGACGAAACTATTACTTTATAGTTCATTTTTATGTTCTAAAATGCACGTATCTGACATGCGAATTTAACTCAATTGTCCAAAGAGTTTGCTTTGCATTCAAACTCAATGGTTGGATTATGACATTTTCCAAGCCTTTTTGGCATGCTAGTTTATGACATTCTCTACACACACTAAGACAACCAGAAACCCCACAAACCTCATCACAATACCCTGCCCTTTACCCTCACTTACCAAAATTAATTGCGCTCCATCTGCAGTAATTTAAAATCAACAACCATACATGACCTTTTCATCTCAAACTCACTCACACTGCTTGCACTTACAGAGACCTGGCTGTCCCCCTCTGATAGCGCTACTCCTGCCTCTTTATGTTTTGGTGGGCTACAATTCTCTCATACTCCCAGACTCAACTGTAAAGGAGGCGGCGTAGGTATCCTTCTCTCCCCTCAATGTACCTTTCAACCAATCATAACTCCCCCTGCCCTATCCTTTTCTTCTTTCAAAGTTCACACTGTCCGCCTATTTAAACCCACTCCTTTAAGAATTGCTATCATCATCCTCCCCTCCCCCTCCTCCCCCCCGGTTATCCTAGACTATTCATTGAGCACTTTTCTTCCTGGCTTCCCCACTTCCTTTCATCTAGCACTCCTTCCCTTATACTTGGGAATTTCAATATCCCAATCAATAACCCCAATTGCACTGATGCCTCTCGTCTGCTTTCAGTAACGTCCTCCTTTGGCCTTACGCAATGGTCCAATCTAGCAACCCATACAGCAGGAAACACTCTTGATCTTGCCTTCACCAACCTCTGTACTGCCTCTAATCTCTCCAATATTCCCTTTCCTCTATCTGACCACTATCTGCTGACTTTTGACATTGGCATACCCAAGACCCAATTGACACCACCGTCTGAACATCACTCTCACAGAAACCTCGAATGTCTTGACCTAGAGCATTTCTCCACTAATCTCCAAACTCTCCTTTTACCTATCTCAAACCTCACCTGTCCTAGTTCTGCAACCTCCTTCCACAATTCCACTCTCAACTAGACATCATGGCACCTTGTACATTTAAACGCCACAGGCCCCCCAACAACAACCCTGGCACACCAAGCTCACTCGATACCTCTAAAAATGCTCCAGAACTGATGAACTCTGTTGGAGAAAGTCTCACTGTGCATCTGACTTTCTCCACTATAAATTTATGCTGAGCTCATACAGCTTGGTTCTTTCCTCTGCAAAAGTTAATTACTTCAATACACTCATAACCACACTCTCCCGCGAACCCAAACGACTATTTCACACTTTAACTCTCTTCTTCGCCCTGCTGTTCCTCCTCCACCTACTAATTTGACTGCCTCAGACTTTGCAACTCACTTCACTGACAAGATCTCTACAATCAGAGAAGAGATATCTCATCTTTCTTCTTCCCCTTACAATTCTTCCCCTAACTTCACTCCCTCTGCTGTTCTATGTTCATTCGCACCCGCTACATTGGAAGAGGTTTCTGCTCTGCTCCAGTCCTCCCGCCCCACCACCTGCTCCCTAGATCCAATTCCCTCGCACCTCATCCGTACTCTGTCTTCTTCTCTTTCTCCGTCTCTCTCTCTCTCCTCTGGTATATTTCTATTGCCCTTCAAACATGCAACTGTAACCCCAATTCTAAAGAAGCCCAATCTTGACCCTAACTCCCCATCCAACTATCGTCCTATCTCGCTACTGCCTTTTGCATCCAAGATCCTTGAAAAAATTGTGTATACGAGATTGACAGACTTCCTCGAGTCCAACACTCTGCTAGACCCGCTTCAGTCTGGTTTCCGCGCTAAGCACTCTGTGGAAACGGCACTGACCAAAGTATCCAATGATCTACTCGCTGCAAAATCTCATAGTCACTAATCTATCCTAATTCTCCTTGACCTGTCTGCGGCTTTTGACACTGTTGATCATTAACAGCTTTTTCTCATCCTCCGCAATATCGGTCTACAAGATACTGCTTTCTCCTGGTGCTCCTCCTACCTCTCCCAGCGCTCTTTCAGTGTTTCTTTCTCTGGCTTTGCTTCTTCTCCCCAACTCCTCTCTGTTGGTGTCCCCCAAGGTTCAGTCCTTGGTCCCCTACTGTTCTCCATCTATACTGCCTCCCTTGGTAAACTTATTAGCTCCTTTGGCTTCCAATATCATTTCTATGTGATGACACACAAATCTACCTGTCCTCTCCTGATCTCTCCCCGTCCCTCTTGACTAGTGTCTCTGACTGCCTCTCTGCTGTTTCTAGCTGGATGGCTGCCCACTTCCTTAAACTAAATTTGACCAAAACTGAAATTTTCTGGTCTTTCCTCCCTCAAGTGTTGTTACTCCTGTGTCTGTCTCCCTCCAAGTCAACGGTGCTACCATCAGCTCCACCACGCAGGCTCGCTGCCTAGGTGTTCTCTTTGACTCCGACCTCTCCTTCAAGCCTCATGTTCAATCTATCGCCAAATCCTGTCATATCCATCTCAAAAACATTGCGCGCATCCACCCCTACTTAACGCCAGATGCGACTAAGGTGTTGGTCCATTCCACTGTCCTTTCTCGCCTTGACTACTGTAATCCACTTCTCAGTGGTCTTACGTGCTCCCAACTAGCGCCGTTACAGTCCATAATGAATGCGGCGGCGAGGCTCATCTTCCTGTCCGCCCGCACCTCCAATGCCTCACCCTTCTGTCAGTCTCTACATTGGCTTGCTATAAAATATAGAGTTCAATTTAAAATTATGGTTCTTGCTTTCAAATCTCTACATAATGCTGCTCCCACCTATCTATCCTCCCTTATACACAAGTATGTCCCGTCTAGGCCCTTACGATCTGCTGAAAACTTACGTCTATCTTCTGTCCGTACTCCCACCTCTGATGCTCGCCTTCAAGATTTCTCGAGGGCTGCACCGTTCCTGTGGACTCGCTTCCCTCCTCTGTTAGATGCTCACCCAGTCTCCACTCCTTCAAAAAATCGTTAAAAACCCACTTCTTCATAAAAGCGTATCAATTAAACTGTTAATAGCTCCTGACTGATTCCTCTTCTGCAACTGTCACTAGTCTAATACTATCCTTACCTTTTTGTGTCATTTTACCCCACTCCCTCTAGCATGTAAGCTCATTGAGCAGGGCCCTCAACCCCTCTGTTCCTGTGTGTACAACTTGTCTGGTTACAACTACATGTCTGTTCGTCCACCCATTGTAAAGCGCTGCGGAATTTGACGGCGCTCTATAAATGTCATAATAATGACATGTGAAGTGTTATTTCCTTTGCATTTTAGGTGTTTGTATGCTTGGTAAGTGGCCCTACGCAATTGGTAGATTTAATGATATTTTAGGACAGGATGTTACATGAAGTGCCTTGGTTTTACCTCAAAGCTCATTTCAAACTTGGCAACTAAAACCTGCTTTCTATTCCTAGGGAAACGTCCGTTTGGTGTGTCCCTTCTTTACATAGGCTGGGACAAGCACTACGGGTTCCAGCTGTATCAAAGTGACCCCAGTGGAAACTACGGAGGGTGGAAAGCCACATGCATTGGAAATAACAGTGCAGTAAGTGCAATATGTTTTTAGCACAATTCATTCATTTTCACTAACTATTTGTGTTGTATAAAATGATTAGGAGTGATCTGTTAATTGAAATCAAACCGCTCTCCACAGGGTTGACCTGTGCATGTGATCCGTGTTAGAATTGATGTTATTTACCTGTCCAGTGCCTTGTGGGCCATTATTACAAAATTCTGATTTTGCTTGTGCTTTAGAACAGTGCCCATCACAGAGCAAATAATCCAAAATCAAGTAAGGCTACTGTACAGTGCCCTGTATTCTGTCTGAGCACAAAGCAATCTATAACAGTGCACTGTGATGGATTGAAAATGGAATTAGCTATAGGTGGCTGAAATAGTTGCACACTGATTCAAATTACATATTGTGGATGGAATTTAAGTCCATTTTTAATTCACATTTCACTTTTTAGTGTATATACACCCATTCAACATGTCTTTTATGAAAGGAACCCATCCATTGTACTGTGTCAGTGCTAATGTGCCCAGCTTTTTCTAATTGTCTGATTGGGCTGTATAGCTTTTCATTCTGATATGCTAATGCAGTGGTATCACTGACTCTTTCTAAACATGGTTAAACTGAAGCAATATTCATAAAATCTAAACATTGTCTTTAGGCAGCAGTTTCCATGCTGAAGCAGGACTACAAGGAAGGAGAGATGAGTCTCAAATCAGCTCTTGCACTAGCTGTTAAAGTCCTCAACAAAACCATGGATGTCAGCAAGCTGTCAGCTGAAAAGGGTAATTCTATTTTTTGTTTTGTTTGTTTGGCTTCAGCTATTTTTGTCCTATTTAAAACATACTTGTTGAGATTTTGTACATTATATTTACATAGATCCCACATTTAAGAACTGTATTTGTGTGAAATTAAAATTTAAATGTAGAACTGCTCCGCTCTTTACGCTGCAGCTGGGCTTCTCCATCCTAGCTATCAGTCTATCATTATCGGCTCTGTCTTGTCCGCCTGGCGGGAAGCATAGACCATGCATGCGAGAAGAGGAGAAACAAAACTGTTTCTTCTCCTTGTTTGCAATGTGTGCCCTGGACCCAACTGGATTGTGATGCCATTTGCTAAATATTTAATAAACCTAAAAAAAATAGCATAACATGTTAACAATTAACCTCCGTAATAGGTGTTTTTTAATGTGTTATTTGCTGGTGTGAAGTGATGGCTACCCTCTAAGTGTTTAGAGTAACATGGTGAGAATGCTATATTTTTCGGTTTTCCAGGTACACTATACTAATGTTATTTACAATAACGCCTATTCATTACAAATGCTTTACTGGCTTATTTACTAAAGTGAAAATTTAAGGTCAGAACAGCCAAACTGAAAGCATAGTTGACCTTGTGGCCTTAAATTTGAACTTCACTGTGAATTCTCACTTTAGTAATTAACCCTGTTAGGCATCTGTTACACACAATTTCAGGGAATCTGTGTGCTCTTTCAATTTCAAAAAGCATGCTATTTAGCATTTGCAGCACATGTTGTATCTGAGTGCTAAATTTGCATTGGAGGCTGATTGACAACTACAGCAAGCTGCAGCAGAAATATAAGCCCCAAAGCTATTTTGTACTTACAGGAGTCGAATACAATTTCACTCAGTGATATATTTACATATTTTGTAGGATTTGTGACATTTACTGTGGAATTGGTAATATAGCAATATCGCAGTGACACATATATATTTTAAGATAATGTGACTCTTACTAAACACACTCAGTTCTATCCAGCACCTGAATATAAATTGTGATCTCTGTATAAAAATATCACTAGCTGGAAGGTTAGCCCTTGCCTGTTAACAGTCACATATTTGTGGGGTTTATTTATTTGACTTTTGTCTAAGTTGACACGTGTGGTTTGCAGCAAAAAAATAATTATATTTCGCCTTATAAAAAGGACCTCTGTTCTTAACAGCCTACCGTATCTGTTTTTAAAATAAAATGTCTAAAAGTATCTAATATATGGAACTAAACATATGCAAATAGATATGACTTTGCAATTTATTACATTTGACATTGAATGTCACGTGACTGAGTTTTACTTGATTGTTGCTGTGGAAGCACCTCTAGTGGCTGTCAGAATGACCGCCACTAGAGGCATGTTTACCCTGCAAGTTAAACATTGAAATTTCTACAAAACGGCAATGTTTAAACTTGAAGGGTTCATTTGACAGGACCACTTCACTGAGATGACCTCTGTGACTTGAGTGGCCCTTTTAATATGATTCAGGTGTAGTGAAGTAGGAAGAACATTCCAGGTAAATTTAGTTTTAACACGTGTTCCCAGTTTTTGCTTGTACAGTTATACATATATCCAATATTGTAAATAATCTTGCATTTTAAATGATCTTTCACAGACTGGAAACTTGATTCAGTACTAATGATTTATTTATTTTCTTTTATAAACAGTGGAAATTGCCACGTTAACAAGAGAGAACGGAAAGACCAAGATAAGAGTCCTAAAGCAGAAAGAAGTTGAGGAATTAATAAAAAAACATGAAGAAGAAGAAGCAAAAGTAGAAAAAGAGAAAAAAGACAAAGAACAGAAGGAAAAAGACAAATGAGTTTGGTTTAAAAAAAAAAAAAAAAGTCTCTCGGATTGTGTATTTTTTTTTCGTGCACATTTATATTTCCAAATTTTCAGGTCTGGACTACAGTGACCAGTCAAACAAATGTTTTTGTTTGAATCTCAAATGTATTTTTTTTTCTATTCTAAAAAAATAAACAAATATAAAAAAACAGTTGTTAAGCACCTTTTAATAATGAAAATAATGTTGCCCAGTTTGGTAAACTGGTACTTTAGAAATGGTTGTCTTTAGTAGTGTTTTGTCTATTGTTAATGGACACAATAGCATAATGCTTAATATTAGGCTTCAATTGTTTTTTCCACTCCTGATTTTTTTTTTTCTTATTACAAGAGATGTTACAATAGGCTCTAGAGTGACATAATCCATTATTAGTTTTGAAAATGAATAGAATTTCCTGCACAATCAAAGGATAAAGAAAACTAGGGACAGAGGTTTCATCTAATTGAAGTGGTCTGGGTGCAGTGTCCCAGTCCCACTTAGTTCTGCAATTTAAATTATTGCCGTTTTTGAGAAACTGTTCATAACATTGCAGGACTAAGACTGCCTTCAGAGATAGCCACTAGAGGCACTTCCTGGTTGCTAACAGACTTTTAGTCGCCTGACGCTGGATGAACTCCCACTCTGCAAGGGTATATCTAGTGTATGTAAAATTCCCATAAGAAAGCAATGCTTTCCAGTGGAGAGGGCCTAATGCACTTTCTGCACATGCGCATTAGCCACCGCCTCCTCGTCTAAGCAGGTGCAGCGCCAACCCAGTGCCGAGTGCAAAGGTTTTTTTTTGGTTTTTTTTTAAAACCCTTTCCATGCTGGGGGAAGGTGGGAATGAGGGATGGTTGGAACAAGCGGCTCCATAATGTTTTATAATGTAATACAGATTCATATTCCTAACACTATAGAATCTTTTACAATTTCAAACGGCCCTAACTTGCTGGTTCTCTTAGCTGTCACTAACAGCAGCTGATGGAAAAGGGGCATGTTTGATGGGTGATGTGCAATAGCTGTCTTTGCACAAGATCGTCGTTGGATCTTGTAGGATCTTCCATACACCTATTTTGTAGGTCCTGGGTGGCCACTATGCAAGCAGATATGTCACCTTGTAGGCTCAGTAAGTGTGAAGCTGCTACCCTCCCCTCTTTTATAGAAAGAAAAAAAAATCACAGTCTGAAAATGGCATGTTATTTTAAATGCTAGGAAACCATGTCTAGCTTTGGAAAATATCACTGATCATGTACTAGGTAGGACCACCTTAGGCTGACAGTTACTGAAAATATTCTTTAGGGATTTTGGTTTGTTCAAAACCAAGTTTGTGCAGATTCTGTGACTACATGTTTGTGCTATGAGCCTCCCATCTCTCCTCATTTCTGCATTGGATTGCAGTCACTAAAGCCGCTGCTGTCCTGCTCAGAGTATACACCAGATTTCTATCTTGCAGTGTGTCATAGCAAAACAAATCTGGGTCTGGATTAAAAAAACAACAAAAAAAATCAATTTATTTTCATGCTAGCAGTCAGCAGGCAAATAATTAAATAAGTTAAGCCTGCGGGGGTCAGTAGGAGGCCCATATTACTATAAGGGAGATTTAAGACCTTCCTTTGCCCCAGGACATATCTACTAAATATTTAAAAGTAGTGACTGGGCAGTGATTACTGCCAGCCAATATAAAGGTCCTATCCCATCGGATGCCATGGGCATTGAATGGGACACATTAAAATGTGTAATGGGGGTGTACAGATCAAGCAGGTGGGGGGCAATTAAATAAAATAGGGTGATTTCCTTATGTCTGACCAGGGGTCATAATAGTGAGTGGGCAAACCAATACCTGTAAAATAAAAATGAGGTTTGCCCTTTTTTGAAATTCTTCTTTTTTTCACCCCCAAAAAAGGCCAAATGAAAATACATGTATTCCGAAGCAATTAATAATAATGAAAAAGATATGCCAAAAGTTGTGACACAAAATTCCCCAGACCGCAATAGGCGATTCCTATTTTTTCACGGACATCAGGTCCTCCATGGGGTACTTAAGGTTGGTGAAAAAAGATTTTTTTAATTCTTTCACGCTGATACTGGCTGGGATGAGGAGTTTGAAATGGAGAGACAGTTTCCTATTCCTAAAACTATAGTGTTTCGATAACGATTATAGGTTTTTCTTTTGTAACAGAATCCAGCCATAAGTGCATTATTCTTTAGTTTACACTTAACTTGAAAAAAGGACCACAAAAGATATGCAGACCATTTAATCTCAGTGAAGCTGTTTGGGTGGAGTGGCCTTGTCATTTTAACCCTGCAATGTAAATCATTGCAGTCTTTTTTTTCTTCTTCTTTTTTTTTTTTTTTAAAACAGCTATTCACACTGCAGGATTAAATCCACCTCTTGTGGCCGTTATACTGACAGCAACTTGAGGCCCTTCCACTGCACTGACCAAGTAAAACCCCCAGTCATGTGACATGGAAACTCTCAAAGCATTGAATGCAATATTTTCCTACGGGGAAGCTTGGTCCCACACGCGCCAATGATGAGCATTTGATCGCACCATCGCTGGAATAGACCATGCCTCCTCAATGACTATGCGTGAGGCGGAGAGTTGAACAGCGCTAAGGGAGTCTCGGCCCTGGAAAAGGGTGAGTACATATATTTTAAAGAAGGTGGGGGGGCCTCCCTTGGAATATCATACGCAGTACTGGAGAATGTATCTCCAGAAGGATACTGATACCTAGCAGAGAGTTCAGAGAAGGGCTACTAAGCTGGTTCATGAATTTCAGGATAAAACTGACCAGGAGGAAAGACGAGACAGGGGTGATATGATAGAAACATTTAAATACATAAAGGGAATCAACACAGTAAAGGAGACTATATTTAAAAGAAGAAAAACTACCACAACAAGAGGACATAGTCTTAAATTATAGGGGCAAAGGTTTAAAAATATCAGGAATTATTACTTTACTGAGTGGGTAGTGGATGCATGGAATAGCCTTCTGGCTGAAGTGGTAGAGGATAACACAGTAAAGGAGTTGAAACATGCGTGGGATAGGCATAAGGCTATCCTAACTTTAAGATAAGGCCAGGGACTAATGAAAGTATTTAGAAAATTGGGCAGACTAGATGGGCCGAATGGTTTCTGTTAGGAATACAGGTTTGTATTCCTATTCTATATTGTTTATTTAACCATTTAATATCATTAATACCTATGCTCAATACTTCCAGTAGGTACAAAATGAAAATAAGAATGCACACTCCATTTAATTGTCAATATTATATTTCAAGTGAATGCATCTTTTTTCCCCCCTAATAGAGTAAACATTCAGAGTATAACATTGTAAGATTTTTCAGGCTAGTATAAAAAACATTAATACTTTTTTATTACATACATGTAAAACATGAATTATGATAAAGCCAAACCTCCATTTTAGACTCCCATAATTTCACAACAGAGGCTCATCACCATTTTGCTACTGGGAGGTCTTTGGATTTACAAAAAAATATTTAACCTTTTTAGTGCACACCCCTCCTGCACTGAACAGGTTAAAATGACCAGGTAGCTGTGAGGTTTTGATTTAAAGGAACACTATAGTCACCTAAATTACTTTAGCTAAATAAGCATAATAGATCACTGTGCTTTCACTGTCATTTGTTAAATCATAGCAGCCCTGGCTATGATTGACAGAGCCTGCCACAAAAAACTGGTTTCACTTTCAAACAGATGTAATTTACCTTAAATAATTGTATCTCAATCTCTAAATTGAACTTTAATCACATACAGGAGACTCTTGCAGGGTCTAGCAAGCTATTAACATAGCAGGGGATAAGAAAATCTTAATTAAACAGAACTTGCAATAAAGAAAGCCTAAATAGGGCTCTCTTTACAGGAAGTGTTTATGGAAGGCTGTGGAAGTCACATGCAGGGAGGTGTGACTAGGGTTCATAAACAAAGGGATTTAACTCCTAAATGGCAGAGGATTGAGCAGTGAGGCTGCAGGGGCATGTTCTATACACCAAAACTGCTTCATTAAGCTAAAGTTGTTCAGGTGACTATAGTGTCCCTTTAACCCCTTAAGGGCACATGACATGTGTGACATGTCATGATTCCCTTTTATTCCAGAAGTTTGGTCCTTAAGGGGTTAACAGACTGCATTATCACTGGATAAGAAAGAATAATTTTTCCCAGTGTAGTCTGAAGGCAATAGACATACTTATTACTTTGTTTACAGAAATATCAGACAAAACAGATTAGTCGTACTAAATGTGTTATCACATTCTTAAATTTAATACATCGGTAATGTTGAGAAACGCTATTACCAACATAAATAGGAGGTAATCAAAATTATGAAACCTATACAAGATATTACCTGCTGCTTGTGAAATCGCAGTTTTTGAACTTCTTGTAAACAAAAATAGAATAGTATTTTTTTGGGACGGAAATACAGATTCTGGCAAAGACAAGATTCTGAATCCATTTTCAAGTCAGTGAGAATTATAACATACAACACAGCTTATCCCCTTAAAGCAGAATTGTCAGTTATCAGACAGATAAACAGAAACTAACAGCTGCTTGATTCAAAATACTCTTACCCAAAATGTGAAAGTTTCTCTTTAAGTGAAACGTATAAACATAGTGAAAGAGTGTTCATCATTATGCGGAATAAAAAAATGCAAGTGTTCTAGTTATACTGCCCTGCCCAATTGTGACATCACCATGCCAGCCTCTTTTCAGAAAAACATTTCATTTCTAATCAGGACCAACATTAGTATGTAGCATTCATTCACATTAAGAACATTCCACTTGACAAGTAACATTATTTTGTCAGCTCTTACTTTGTCCCAGACAGGTCCATCAGACCACATGTATGTCTTAAAAGGCCATATTGTGACAAAGACTTTACTATGTATATCTCAATAAAGGGCATTATGTGTCAGAAAGTGGTTAGATAATGCTAAAAAATAATGGAGTGTTATATATTGGAATAAATCAAACTGCAACCTTGATTTTCATTTATTTGTAAGGTAAAGTACATATAAAAGTGTTGGAATAAAGTGGATAAATAGGTGTGGATGTCATGTTCCACAACTTGGTTTTATAACTGAATCTCTCTATTGTGATTGTGACACTGCCAAAAATTGAATAGACTAAACATAATATATACCTCAAGTTTGAACTGAGTTTTGGTAGGAGACTGGATTAATGGATTATTATTATTACCATGCTATGCAAGACATCACACAACTTCCAACTGTGCAGCCAACATGCGTGTAGATTACCAGTCCAACAGCAGATCAGCAGCAATGAGCAGGGACATTGCTAAAGAAGATCTGACCTGGGCTGAAGACCCACGTTGGGGTACGGATAAGTCCCAGATCTAATATTGGCACGATTTTATTGCTATCCCTGAGTCCCATGTAATATTGATGGAGAAATAAAATCTTCCCTTACATAATGTGTAAGTTAAAGGGGCACTATAGGCGCTCAGAGCAATTCATATCAATAAAGTGGACTGGGTTCATTGACCCTGTCACCTTAACCATGCAATGTAAGAGAATGCAGTCTTTGTTTAAATTGCAGAGTTAAGACTGCTTCTAGTGGCTGTTAATCAGAGAGAGACAAGAGGCGCTTCCTGCATTTTCACAAAGTTTACCTCTGTAAAACAATGCTGGATGTCCTCACGCTTTGCATGAGGATGTCCAGGGTCTTGAAAATTCCTTATGTGTGCAGCAATTGATGCACATGCACATTAGGATCCCCCATTGTCGTGACGTCACGGAAGGAGGAGCCCAAGGGACTTTGGCGCTGGAGTCATGTAAATGAAAGAAAGGAGGCAGAGGGACACCAGTGTTTGGAATAGTTTTGTAACACTGTAGTGTTCCTTTAATGCTGCATGTGCAGGTTTAATACAGTAGGTGTGGAGTTTAAAAATATAGGTTCATATAATACTCTGAATTCATCCAAACATTTGGTGTCATACTGTGATTTATAGAACATTAGGATTTGGGGCTGGACATACCGAGTGGTACAAGGTGAATTTTTGGGAGGAGCCTAAAACTAAAGCCCCTGGACTTTTTGCCACATAACAATGCGCCAGGCTCAGAGGTATAACTCTAAACACTGTAAAATACATAGAAGATTGTAACAATATTTTTGGTATCAATTTGGCTAATGGAATGTTAAAAAAAATACACCTTAACCAATACAACTTTTGTAGTGGTTATGGTCCAAACACTGCTCTCCTCTGCTGCCCCCCCAGAATTTCAGACAAATTTATACCATTTACGACAATAATGCAGAAGTGAAAGCAATGGTTTTGGGAACCAAGTGAGCCTCAAACTGCTCAAAGGAAAAAGGTATAGTGGTTTTGGTGCTTCGATTTGCCCTTTTAAGCTCTATAACATTGCCCCTTTTGGCAGTTTTACAGTTTTCATAAAGAATGTTACAGTTGTGTCATTGCATTAATAGCAGATCATTTGGATATACAATGAAAGACTAAGGGAATGTCTACATTCCATCTACCCTTAATCTTTAATGCATTGTATAGATAATGCATTAAAATACAGCTAAGAGATTATTTAAAAAAAAAAAAAAGGGTTGTCTGATCCTTCCCTGTGGGGTATAATCGTATCCCATAATCCTGTGTATAATTTACAGGGATATTCACTAATTTGAAAATTCTAAAGTTAATTTTAAACTTAAAGGACACTATAGTGCCAGGAAAACATACTCGTTTTCCTGGCACTATAGTGCCCTGAGGGTGCCCCCACCCTCAGGGTCCCCCTCCCGCCCGGCTCTGGAAGGGGGAAAAACTTACCTTTTTCCAGCACTGGGCGGGGAGCTCTTCTCCTCCGATCCTCCTCCTCTCCGCCCATTCGGCTGAATGCGCACGCACGGCAAGAGCTGCGCGCGCATTCAGCCGGTCGCATAGGAAAGCATTATCAATGCTTTCCTATGTACGCTTGCATGCTCTTACTGTGATTTTCACAGTGAGAAGCACGCAAGCGCCTCTAGCGGCTGTCAATGAGACAGCCGCTAGAGACTTTGGGGGAAGGCTTAACCCATTCAAAAACATAGCAGTTTCTCAGAAACTGCTATGTTTATAAAAAAAATGGGTTAACCCTAGATGGACCTGGCACCCAGACCACTTCATTAAGCTGAAGTGGTCTGGGTGCCTAGAGTGGTCCTTTAAGTTGAAAATAGCTGAACTGGAAAAATTCAAGGTCAGCTATGCTTCCAGTCCACTCTGGCCTTCAATTTGTAAATCACTTTGAATTCCCAGTTTAGTAAATAGCCCTGTACGAGTTCTGGGCTGCCAGATTGACAGCCTTGGTTGTCAATCTAACAGTAGCAGTGACGTTTACAGAACTAAGAGTGAGCTCAGGATACTTCAGTCTGAGCAATAATGCAAAGTGCTTATGGTGTGTAGACGACCCTTGAAGATGTTCCCTATTGCTTTTAATGTATTGCTTGCTAAATGCCATTGAAATAGGATTTTAATTCTACCTAAAAAAAAAAATCAACTGTTTGGAATCATAAATTATCATTAAACAAGCAGAACACATCGTTAGTGTTGTGTAGCATGAAAGGCACACTTTATGTTACCTCTGTACATGGCAACAAAACTAAATAAGGTTTTATGTAAAAAATAAAACCAACGCTGCATTATATGTCATTAAAAAAAAAGAATGATAACTTCTCTAGAATTCACAGCATTGAATAAAACACTGAAAATGATCTATAACTGTTGTTAACCTTTTTTTAGATAATGCTCTGTTTTCCTTTTAACCTTACATTAAAAATTCTGGAAGCCACGACTCCCAGTTCCAGGATAAAGGATGGATACAGCACTGGTTACAGTGTTCAATCCACATGCCCCTAATAGCTGTGTGACAGACAACCACAATGTGGCTTTGGTAGATTCTGAATCTATTTAATTAATGCGTTGCATCAGTCTGTAAAGTATGCTGACGCTGGGAGCGTGTCTAATGCTTCTCTGTAAGAAATGTTGGATTCAGTGATTCCTAATGAGAATGCACTATATGCCCTCAATGCTTTACTACGAGAACAACAACAAGCTTGATGACCTCACAGTAGGATCTCTCAGTCTTTTGAGGAGTTTTGAAGGTTGGCATTTTTAAAGGTTAGTTATTTCAAGGTTTTTTTAAAGGGGGCCCAGTAATCTAAACTGATCATGGAGCACACGTAATAAAATAAAACAAATATATATATATAAATATATATGTAACATATTATGCATGCGAGCTCCCACTGCTATCCCTAGGGCTTCTGGGTTCAGAACTGAATAAATGCAGGCAGACGGCCATTTTGGAGAGGTTACGTGTTGTTTTATGACATGATTTTAAAGCTGAGCTAAATATGAAGTCTCAAAACTTTGTAGACTACTACACTTCGTAGTAAATAATAATAGGAAAAAAAAAAGTTAAACTTAGTAAACATTAATGAGAAGATTCATCAATGCAACACGCTACCCATTGCTTACAATTGCAGTAAATGTGACATAATTAACAAATCGTATGAAGCTCCCAGCAGGAACATTCCATTGGTATCCACGGCGATTACACCTCTTTTAGAATGTTTCCTCAGCAATAGCCTCTAT